CTGACATCTTTACAAAGGCATTAGATTATGAGAGGTTTTCTAAACTTAGAAAATCTCTCGGGATGTGTACTCAATAAACATGTCCTGAAATATGTTTCAGCACCTCATCCAATATCTTAAGCTGCAACATAATTTACTGAAGCTTAGCTTCTTTAAATAATCACTTCACTGTGATGGATTATTCTCTAAATAAGTAACTGGAAGTCTTTCACCTTGAAACGTGATCATGCTTCATGTAAACATTCAGAGAACAATTATAATCACATAAGTCAAACTCCTCTATCTGAATAGTCATATCTTACTAACTGAGGAACTTTCAAACTGAACACTTGATCATGTTCCATGTGAATTGTTTGACTTGAAAATAAGAGTTAAAAAAAAACAAATTATATATATATACATGCCTGTTAGCCAATTTTTCTCACACTATTAATCATTAAAAGATGTGTTTATTATTTAAGTGTAAATTTCGTGAGTGCTTTTATTTTTATTACTATTAGTTTTATTATTATTGAATTATCACTATTTATATGGGTCATGGGGTACATGGGTTAGTCTTTTATCTTCCACTAAGTCCACTTCTTATTGTGCCATGTGTCACGTTTTGTTTTAAACTGCCACATAGACCTTTTATTCTCCTTAATCACACTTTCTCCAAGATAAACGCACACCACTTCTTCACCTTCTCCACTTCAATTTTTTTATCTCTGCAAAAATTAGGGCTTATAATTTCTTGCTTCTTTTTTCGAAAATTCACACTCAAAAATCAAAAACACAAGAAGCAATTTTTTTCTCTCTACTGTACCATGGCATCTTCTCCTAGAAATCCTCTTCCAGCCGTTAGTGATGTCCACAACGATGCTGCACCACCTGAACCAGCAGACCTTAATCTAGCCATCATCGTTCATCCTGTCAACCTTGAAGCTATGCCGATCAGCTTTATTGAGCCCGGAGACGAGCTGAATCCGATTGACCCAGACAACTTCCAGAACCTGGGTCCCTCTTCCACTGCAGGAAGGTTTCCTACTCGCCGGTCCAAGCACATGAATCCCTTCCCAGATCTGAATGCTACTGGGTCACAACGTCGAAGGGGAGAAAATTCTCCCAACAGAGGCGGCAGAGGTGGAAGAAGAGGCGGCAGAGGTGGTCGTACTCCAGTTAGGCCAAACCCACCAAGAGGCCTTCATTTGGTTGATGAAGAAACGGATGATGAAGAAGAAGATCCTACCTTTGCAGAACCAGAAGCCCAAGCTCTCTCCTCAAGCTCCACTGAGTCATCCTCCAAAGACTCGACTCCACCAGCATCAACTCGGGGGGAGACACTTCAGCATAACTCTTCTCAACATCCTGTTTTCCGAAGATGTTGTTGCACATGTTCCTGAAAATGCTGCTGCACCTACTGTCTTAGACAATGCCCCTCAGAGTGCTGCTGAAGATGCTGCTCCACCTGTTGCATCACCTGAGCCAGCATACATCCCAGATGAACTTGAACACTCAGAAGAAGAGGAATCTTCTGAGGAAGAAGAGCTGGACTTGGATGGGAAGGATCTGTCAACTCCTTTTGAGGTAAACAATGCTTTCAGTACTACTTTTTATTTTGAATCTGATTCAAATTTGAGTCCTCAAATCATGAATTGCCAATTCATTAAGGAAAAGAATATTTCCAAGGATGAGTTTGATAGACATAGGATCACTGATTTTCTTGATCAAAGAAAAATCCTTAGTCTAGTTGAGATTGCCTGTCCTTATGATCCCTCTATTGTGAAGGAATTTTATGCCAATTTACAAACCTTTTTTTTTTCTCCAAACTTTGAAAAAGTTTTTGTACGAAATTCCATTTTCTCCGTTTCTCCCAAAATTATCAACTCTCATTTACAAATTCCTACTGCGATTGATGAGGATAATTATGGTGATTTTACTGAGGTTTGTAAGACTCTTTCTGGCAATCGTCTAAAATGTTGGCCTGCTCACCCCAGAAAATTCAAAGTTTCTCAACTCACTGCATTTTATTCTGTCTTGTTCAGACTCACAGTGATGAATTGGATTCCATCCAAAAATGTCTTTGTGGTAACTAAACCTCATGCAGTACTCATGTACAAATTGGGGATGGATTACCAGTTGATTTTGGCAAACTTTTCTTTAATAATATAGGCCATCTTGCCCAGAAAATTTCATCCTCCACTCATCTTCCTTACCCTTCTCTCATCTACTCCATTTTACTTTCTCAAAATTTGGGCCAAGATGAATCAGAATATCTTCACACTCCACTTGGCATGATCACTGTTTCTCAAAATTTTCTAAAAGCTCCTCATGTCCAGGATCTTCCCTGGAATGGAGATAATTTCCTCTCAACTGAATCAGGTCAAAATAATCTTGGTACTGAAGGTATTGCTCCTCATGTTGACAACATCCCTAACATTCTTGTTTTTGTTCCTAGAGATCTCTTGTTACAACAGCTTACTCACTCCCTAGCTCAGATTACTTATCACCAGTCCATGGTGGATATGCTTCAAAAAGCTCTTTCTGATCAAAAAGGGGGAGAAAAAGCTAGTCATGAAGTTGAAGCAGGAACTTCTCATCCTTTGGATGCCAGAGGCAGAGAGCAAGGAGTTAATGAAGAAGGAGCAAAGAATGAGGGTGAAGCTCAAGGAGCAGAGGAAAGCAGTGGATCCAGTGCTAGTGATGGAGGAACAACAGCTGATACTGATGAGACCTTGGATATTCTACTTTAATTTTTTTTATGAACAATATTCGGTTTTGTTCAGTTTTTATTTTCCCTCTGAACTTTTATGTTAATGTTGGTTGTCAAATTCAGGGGGAGTTCAAGCAATGACTCAGGGGGGTTAAGCTAAAATTTAGTTTTGATCAGAAAGTTAAAAGGGGGGAGTTTGAAACACGTGGATTGTTTCCACATTTTGTTTTTAACTTTCTTATTTTCTAACTAAATTTTAGTTATGGAATAAGTAGTGCTTAGTGGGTTAAGTATATGGCTTAGTGGGCTAAGTATATTACTTAATGGACTAAGTAGTGTTTAGTGGGTTAAATACCGACTTCAAGACTCAAGGAATTTTATCGATTCCAAGAAATAAACACCGAGAGCTGAAAAGAATACATGAGTGTTTTAGTGTTTTTTAGAATCGGTTGTTTGTACTCCTCATGAGTACAATCTTTGTAGTCTAGATTGTTTAGTATATATGTTTCTAGACTTGGTTGTAAGAATGATCAAGATAGTGATTCATTCATAAGAAAGAAGTTCTTTACGTACTCCTCACGAGTACATTCTTTGAAATCTAGAATTTTTAGAATTTATCTTTTTGTTTCTAGATTTGAATGTAAGAATGATCATGTTAATGATTCATTCATAAGGAAGAAGTTTTCGTACATCTTCCGTTTATATTCTTGGAATACTGTTTTAATATAATTTTTCCGTCATGTAAAGGGCAAGTTCACAAGTTATTACCTGTGAACATTTTTAGATCTGAGTATTGTCTTTATATCTTTATATTTCCGCTGCATGTTTTCTCAAGTGTCATAACACTTAAGATAACATCTCTGTATTAAACGAATTATGGACCATAAATTCTTTCAAATCTAATTTCTTCAAAAAAAAAAAACCATCAAAATCACCCCAAATATTTTAAACCAAATCTAATTTCTGCAAAATAAAATCTCTAAAAGTCCTTTTTTAGGGTAAGCTGCATAAAACCACTTCTGTTATGGAAAATCTGCACCAAATCGGTGTAGCATCGCATTAGCCATGCCTGCTGGGAGTTTATTTCTTAAAAAAAAGAAATTATAAAACAACACCTGATCATTTTTCTTTTTTTCTTTTTTTAATCTTTTGTTACAAGCAGTGGCGGAGCCACCCTTTGGCAAGGGTGGGCTCCAGCCCACTGTGGATTTTTTTTTTTTTTTACCTATATATATCCATGTATATTCAGCCCACCCAATTATTTTAATTAGCCCACCCACCACAAACTTCAAAGCCCAGTTTCTTTTTTTAAGAATTAATATTCAGCAATCAGTAATTCTTATTCATCGTTTGTCTCTGTTTTTCGTTCAATTTCTGTTTTTTGTTCAATTTTTCTTCTACAATATTCTACTACGGAAAAACACCAACACGCCACAACTCTATCTTCTGCAATTTTTCTTCTGTAATACAAAACGGAACAGATTCCAACTAAGGTAAAAAAAAAACCCCTCTATAATATTGTACATATATTTATATAGGGATTAGGGTTTAATTGATAATATTTGATTAAGAATGAATTTATAGTAATTCATTACATGTGGAGTAGCAGATGGTACTAATTTTAGGATTTTGATTTTTTCCTTTACCAATTTCAATGGAAGTTGTCTTTTGGTACTGCATATTTTATTTTTTTCTGTTTCAATGTGAGATATTTTAATTTGATTTCTTGTCCTTTGACCAATTTTTTTAGCATAAAAAAAGAAAAATTGAAAACCAGGGAGAGAGAAGTCTATGTAAGAAGTGATTTTAATAGTGATGAGTTTCATAAAAGCAATTCTAATTTTTTGTATAGTAATATGTGAAGAACATGAAAACTCAATTCCATTATTTTCTTTCCTCTCTTACTTTTGTCTTCTGGTAAAGAATGTATATCTTATAGTGGAAATATATAAATTTTTTATTACTTTGTTTGGAGAGTCAGTGGGTCTTGATTTTGTATGAAACTCAATTCACCTAATTGTTTTTTAGGTGCTGACTTGTTGTGCTTGCCAATTGCCATATGTGATAACATGTGTTCATATTATATTCAGTATAGTGTTGTTTATGTGGGGTAACTTTTTGATATGAAAATAAGACAAAAAAATAAAATAATATGTACAATTTTTTATTGTCTATGTAAGAAGCAGTAGCTTAGAGAAGTTTTGAGTTTCAACTTTTAAAATAATATTTTTTTCATTGCAAATGATTATTGGATTAATTTATTTGCTTAGTTAATTTTACATCCTCAATTTTGTATGATTAAACAGTTATGAGGAGATATTTGAAGAGAAAATCACCTCCTCCCCAAATAAGAGATGATTCTTCATCCGGTAATACACTCCAAGAGGTTAACTTGGGAGATCTTCCTGCAGATCCTGGACAAAGACCTAATATTTTGCATTATAACAATAACGTTCGAGATCAAGTTCGGAGAGCATATTTGCAAAAGGGCCCTTGCCAACCTCATAACCACGACTTCCCTCCTACAATCTTTGGCAACCAAAATAGACGGTTTAATAAAGTTTGGTTTAGCGGACATAGTAACTGGTTGGAGTATAGTGTATCAAAAGATGCCGCATATTGTTTATGTTGTTATCTTTTCAAACCAGATATTGGAGGTCAATCAGGTGGTGATCATTTTGTTACTGAAGGGTTTAAAAATTGGAAGAGAAATGATAAATTATCTATTCATGTAGGCGGGCCCAATAGTGCACATAATATAGCTTGGGGAAAATGTCAAGATTTGATGAATCAAAAGCAACATATTGAGACGGTTGTTTGCAAACAGTCAAATCAAGAAAAAGCTAGATATAAAATCCGCTTAAATACGTCAATTGAGGTGGCCCGATATCTCTCAACACAAGGATTGGCATTTCGGGGTCACGATGAAAGTGTAAGTTCGAATAATCCAGGAAATTTTATTCAACTTGTAAAAACTTTTGGGCGAATTAATCCCGATATCAAGGCACTTACTTTGAATAATGCTCCGCTAAACCAAAAGATGACAAGTCCGGATATTCAAAAGGAGATTGTAAATGCTTTTGCAATGGAAATTATGAAAGTAATTATATGTGATCTTGGTGATTCGCCGTTTTGTCTGATGGTCGATGAAGCACGTGATATATCAATGAAGGAGCAAATGGCTTTAGTGATAAGATATGTCGATAAATGTGGTAGTGTGATTGAGCGTTTTCTAGGAGTTGAAGATGTTACCGATACTAGTGCTTTGACTCTTAAAGCAACTATTGATAATGTTTTTTCTAGATATGGATTGAGTATCTCGAAATTAAGAGGTCAAGGTTATGATGGAGCTAGTAACATGAGAGGTCAATTTAATGGCCTAAAAACACTTATCTTGAATGAGAACCCTTCGGCATATTATATTCATTGTTTTGCTCATCAGTTACAACTCGCTTTAGTAGCAGTTGCAAGAAAACACGATCATATTTCTTCACTTTTTGATTTTACTACAAGAGTGTTAAATGTTGTTGGATCATCGTGTAAACGTCGTGATTTGCTTAGAGAGAAGCAATCTGAAAAAATACTTGAAGCACTCGATATGGGAGAAATTTCAACTGGGCGAGGTTTAAATCAAGAAACTAATCTTAAGCGAGCAGGTTAGATTATTTTTAAGCTTCAAGATTTTCTTTTTTTATTTTAAGAATGTCTTGCCATTTTCATTTTTTAATACTCTTGAATGTCCAGGTGATACACGTTGGAGCTCTCACTACAACACTTTATTGAGTTTGATCAATATGTTTGGTGCGGTGATTGATGTACTTGAACTTATTGGTCGTGATGCTTCAAGTACAAGTCATCGTACCGAAGCACAGGATATTGTAGATAGACTTTTGTCATTTGATTTTTTGTTGAGCCTCTTTTTGATGAAAAAAGTACTAGCGATAACAAATGAGCTATCTCAAGCACTCCAAAGAAAAGATCAAGACATTGTGAATGCAATGACATTAGTTCAAGTGTCAAAGATTCAAATTCAATCCTTGAGAGAAAGTGGGTGGAGTTCTTTACTTGATGGTGTTACATTTTTTTGTGAGAAACACGGAGTTGATATTCCTCAAATGGATGCTAAATATGTTGCTCGAGGGCGAAGAAGACGGAATGAAGAAGAAATGACAAACCTACATCATTATAAGATTGAGACATTTTACACTGTCTTGGATATGCAACTTGGAGAATTAAATGCTCGATTTTCTGATTCGACCATGGAACTGCTTATGTGTGTTTCTTGCCTTGATCCATCGAACTCATTCTCCCATTATAACAAGGAAAAACTACTTCGTCTTGTTGATTTTTATCCAGAAGACTTTACCGAGTTTGACAAATGTAAGCTCAGTGATCAATTGGATAATTATATTGTTGATATGCGCCTAAGCAAGGATTTTTTTGGATTGAATGGTATAAGTGATCTTGCTCGCATAATGGTAGACACTAAGAGAAATAAAGTGTATCCTTTGGTTTACTTGCTTTTGACATTGGCATTAACATTGCCAGTTGCTACCGCTACTGTTGAGAGGGCATTTTCAGCTATGAATATCATAAAGAATGGATTGCGCAATCGGATGAATGATGAATGGTTAAGTGACTCTTTGCTTGTCTTTATTGAGAGAGAAGTCTCCACAGAAATTGATAATGAAACAATCATGGAGAGTTTTCAGAAAATGAAAACACGAAAGGGTCATTTGTAATTTTATTATAACTTTTATGACTATATTTAGAGTTGTAACTTTAAAGGATTGAATTTATGTTATATTAGTTAAAATTTATAAATTTGTAGTTATTTTGTGCTACTTTATGTATTAATCGGAAAAAAAAAAAAAAAATCGGGGACGTTGTCCGTGAATCCCGTAAAGCCCACCCTAGTTCGAATTCCTGGCTCCGCCACTGGTTACAAGACTAGTCCATTTGAATATTTTTTATAGTATTTAATGTGTTTCCTAACAAATATGAGATCAAATGTATATATATAACATTATGTGAGCAATGGTCACCCATGAAGACTCCATCAATTTGCTGACATGGATTAAGGACCTGATAAATGATAAGGTTAGTAAAATGGTGTCGAAGCCTTCTTCAGACTGGGATTAGGTTTACCTAATACTGTTTAAACAAAATTATAAATTAAATAAAAGAAGTAATAAGAGAGAGAGAGAGACGCCAACAGTATGGGTCGCTCCTCATGTGATGAAAGAAGCGGTTATTTGAAAAAACTCTCATATTCAAATTTCGTAGAGAGATAGACCTAATTTCAAATTTTATATTTGAGATAATTCTTGGATTGCAAAATACTTATATTATCCTAATTTACTGCCTTTTTATAGATATATATTTTTAATTTTTATTTTATGTTTATATTCAAGTTTTTTTTTTTTTTTTTTTTTATTTCACTTTTTTAATTTTGTATTTTTTTTATAAAATAATTTTATTTTAATTTCGTCTTTAAAACATAAATTTGTTTTTTTAGGGATAACATTCTAGGAGCCCCCTAAGAAAACCTAATTTGGCTAAGCTTATAAGCTCCTAAAAACATCTTATAAGATGTTTAAGAGCTTATAAGTTGTTAAAAGGTGTTTGGTAAAAAAATTGCAAAAGATCTTATTTTTACCAAAAATAAGCTGTTAGGAAGCTTATAAGATGTTTTAAAAAAATATCTCTACCCCACCTTTTTTCTTTAAGATCTTATTTGTTTCTTTACTAAAACACTTAAAATACAAAATTACCCTCAAATACTTTATTATATTACATGAATACTATTAATATTTATATTTTATCAAAACAACGTATTCTTGTAATCAAGATTAATAATTAGTTAAATATAATTATTGTAATTATCATAATAATTGTAAAAAAAATTATTCTCTATTTATATTTTATATGTATATAAAAATACACGAATATTCTTATTATCTCCATAATAAATTATATTTCTTTCATCTAACAAAAATTATATTTCTTTTACAACTTTTATTTTATATTATTATATAATTTTATATTATTATTATTATTTGAAAAAATAATTTATAAATATTATAATAATATTTTAGGAACAAAAGTATTTGAGTCGAATAAATTTAACAATTATACTGGCGTCATGTACTTTTTTGTCATTATAGCAATAAACAGACCTTTTTATTTCCAAACACCTGAACAACTTATAAAAACAAAAAGTAACTTATAAGCTACATATCCAAACACCTTAAAAAATAATTTTTAAAATAAGATCTAACAGCTTATCAGCTCCTAAAACATCTTATCAGATGTAGGAACTTATAAGATGTTTTAAATAAGCTTAGCCAAACGGGCTCTAAGAGGGTGTTTGGCTAAGCTTATAAGATATTAAAAAGAGCTTATAAGATGTTTTAGAGCTTATAAGCTCTTCCAAAGTGTTTGGTAAATTTTTAAGAAAAGATCTTAATTTTTTAAAAAATAAGCTGTTGGAGACCAAATAAGATCTTTTTAAATAAGTACCTCTACCCCACCTTTTTATTTAAGATCTTATAATGAGTAAAAATAGGAAATAAGCTTATTATCCAAACACTCTATAAATTAATCCTAAAAATAAGATGTAACAGCTTATCAGCTCTAAAAACATCTTATCAGATGTAACAGCTTATCAGCTGTTTAAAATAAGCTTAGCCAAACACCCTCTAAATAACAAGTCTAAGAGGTTGGCTAATCTTATTTTAAACAACGAATAAGCTCTTACGTCTGATAAGATGTTTTAAGAGTTGATAAGTTGTTATATTTTATTGTTATGATTAATTTTTAGAGTGTTTGGATAATGAGTTTATTTCCTATTTTTACTCATTATAAGATATTAAATAAAAAGGTGGGGTAGAGTACTTATTTAAAAAGATCTTATTTGTTCTCCAACAGCTTATTTAAAAAAACAACAAGATCTTTTTCTAAAAAATTACCAAACACTTTGGAAGAGCTTATAAGCTCTAAAACATCTTATAAGCTTAGTTAAACACCCTCTAAATCCAATCTTTAATTAAACCATTTGCTTGAATTAATATATGAGTCACATCCCTAATTTTTTTTAAAATCATATATTGCCCTTATACCCTAAATTACCTAACTTATACATTCACGTTTCTTCAATTTCAAATTTATTTCTCTTTATTTCTATTTTCTCTCGCACGTTCTCTCTCTCTCTCTCTCTCTCTCTCTCTCTCTCTCTCTCTCTCTCTCTCTCTCTCTCTCTCTCTCTCTCTCTCTCTCTCTCTCTCTCTCTCTCTCTCTCTCTCTCTCTCTCTCTCTCTCTCTCTCTCTCTCTCTCTCTCTCTAGTTCTCTCCAGTAGCAGCACGAACGCCGGAAACGGAGAGAGAATGAGCGGGAGCGGTGGGTGGAGTCGTGGTGGAGACGTCGGCGACGAGTGAAGTCGTGGTGCAGGTGGCGACAACAGGGATTGTGCAAAGAAGCAGACAAAGTCTGGCTGAAGACTGTAAACTTAGCGCTTCTCGGGAGGCAACCCGGGATTTTTTCGTTTTTTTTTTATATTATTTCTTTCTCTTGTTTTATTTTATATAAGCATGCTAGCTAACAAATTAAACATGTTTTTAATTTTTAGGACAAAAAAATTGCAGCTCTGGGAGCTCATACGGTCGTCCCAAACAAGGTAAAGTATCATACGGCCGTCCGAAAAATCTGGGAAGCTACTGCCCAATTTTGGATTGGGGCGCGGCCGCGCAAAAAATACACTATAATTCGCGCGGCCGTGCAAGAAACAGACAGCTACTGTCCACTTTTGGCAATTCGCACGGCCGTGCGGAAAACAGTTCAAAAACTGACACGGCCGTGCTAGATGGATAGAAGCACAATAAAAGCCGAAAATTTCAACAACCCGGAGATGGCCATGTCGACTATTCAGGTGTATTCTATCCTTAAACTTCGTGCTAATTACATTGAGGGCAATGTAAATTTTAAGTTTTGGGGTGGAAAATTGCTTATTTTTATGTGCTTTAATTTTTTAGTTTGCATGCCTTAGGATTTTTTTTTATGTTTAGTTGTTTTGGTTTATTTATTGCTTTCGAAAAAAAAAAATTGAGATAAATGCTTCGATGAATCATGATGATGAAAGATGGTTGATGTTTAATGATAAAATTGCTTGCTTTATCTTGATTGTGATAGAATTTTGGTGAGCTTTTGATTCAAAGTGTCGTAGGAAGGAGTCATTGTTAGGAATCACGAATTATGCCTTGCTTTGGTTGAAAGTTTTGTGTTTTAAAACGTGGAAGTAATTTATGCTATATCATATGCTATTCGGTTTTAGAACTAGCCTTAGGAATTTACAAAGTGAAATATTAAATTGTTGAGCAATTTCGGAAGTGATTTGGGCCATCTTTGAACCATTTGAGCCTTTCAAGCCTATCTTTAAATTTATCATTCGAACCTTGATTGAGCCTTGGAGAAACGGTATTCTTTCTTTTAGCCAAAATAAAGTGGGTAGATTAGATGGAGATTTCTTGATAAATTTTCCCTTGGAGCTTGGTTGAAAAAAAAAAAATAATAAATAAAGATAGAAGGGAGAAGAAAGGACTTGAGAAAACATGTTAAATTATTTAGGTCTCAACTCGGTGAAAACATGTTAAATTATTAACTCGATAGTTTAATGATTCACTAAATTAATAGAATTTTCCTAATGTCGACTGTATTAATTAATAGAGGTTTAACCGTACGAACTTCAATATCGATTGAAATCGTCATTAGATAATTAAGTTTTAACATCATGTGTGCTTGCATCATACCATACAATATTCGATTGGACCCGCTCCTTAGTCAATGAGGGTTCTTTCGACCCTACACCACCGGGTGGATTTTCTGCTTACACGTGTTATATTTAATTATGTATCATGTATTCCTCTACATGAGTTAATCTGTAGGGCTTTTAAAAAAAATACAAAAAAGTACACGTGTCAGCAGGAGATCCACTCGGTGTTTATCACCGGGAATAGGGTCGAAGGAGCCGTCAACGAGATGCTACATCTGGTGAAAAACACAAAATAATTTCGCACCGTAAATCTATACAAATAATCGTGGTTGTTTAAAAATTATTGTTCTTTCGCCACGCCGCGCAGAACTATTAACCTTTCAGTTATGTGTTCTACCCTCTCGTTGTACAGTAGATTCTTCCCCTTCCACTGGATCCGCAGGAGAACGAATCATAGGCCCCTTCCCTTTTCCCATTTTCAGTTTTTTAATCCAATTAGATATCCTGCAAATATAAGAGATATTGAAATAAGTAAAATTGAAATTATAAAAAAATATATATAGAAATAAGTAAAATTGAAATTATAAAACATAAATAAGTAAAATTGAAATTATAAAAAAATATAGAAATAAGTAAATTTGAAATTAAAAAAATATATAGAAATAAGTAAAATTTAAATTATAAAAAATAATATTGAAATAAGTAAAAATGAAATTATAAAAAAAATATAGAAATAAGTAAAATTGAAATTATATATAAAAAAAAAAGATATTGAAATAAGTAAAATTGAAATTATAAAAAAAAATAGATATTGAAATAAGTAAAATTGAAATTTTAAAAAAGATATTGAAATAAGTAAAATTGACAAAAAAAAATAAAAAAAATTACACTGCTGAACGCCCAGACCGGGCGTCCAAACCGGATTCGGACGCCCAAACCGAGCGCCCATTCCCGGACCGGACGCCCAGACCGGGCGTGCACACTGTAATTTGAACGCCCAACTCGGGCGTTCACCTGTATTCTTCACGCCCAAACCGGGCGTGAAAAATGCCGGTGAACGCCCGAGTTGGGCGTTCAATGTGCGCAAATTGCACAAATAAACAGCCCTAAATTTCGATTTTTAGGGTTGTTTAACATGCAATTACACCCGAAATTTTCTACCCAATGCAATTAAAACGTTTAGGAGTTGAAAATACCTGAAAATTTGGAAGAATTTGGCTTGATTTTGCTTCAATTTGAATTTTTGGAAATTTTCTTTTTTTTTAGAGCTGATTTTTTTTTTAGAGAGAGAAATGTATTTTTGGGGAATGAGTTGCAAGTAACAATTTTCAGACCCCAAAAAGCATTTCACTAAATATTAAAGGGATGGGCTTATTGGTGAAATAGATATAACCCCTAAACCTAGAATAATAAAGATGCGTGGTTATGGACTTATACACAAAAACCCTTATTATATTGTTTAGTGTAAAATATGATGGAATTGGTTGGAGACCACCAAAAGTAGTGAAATTATAAAATAGTGTGTAAAGGGTGGGAGATAAACCCATTTTTTCACCAACAAAAATAGAATTTGCGTAAAAAATAGTGATTAGGTTGAAAGATGCTCTTTCCAGATGTGTTTGATATCTTATATCAAAGCAACAACTATTTTAATATTTATGTGAGTTATTAAACATGCATAAACTTAAATATTGCAATTTTTTGCTTGACCTAAAAGTTTTAAATTAAGAGCCCGTTTGGCTAAGCTTATTTAAAACATCTTATAAGCTCCTATATCTGATAAGATGTTTTAGGAGCTGATAAGCTGTTAGATCTTATTTTAAAAATTATTTTTTAAGGTGTTTGGATATGTAGCTTATAAGTTACTTTTTGTTTTTATAAGTTGTTCAGGTGTTTGGAAATAAAAGGTCTGTTTATTGCTATAATGACAAAAAAATATATGACGCCAGTATAATTGTTAAACTTATTTGACTCAAATACTTTTGTTCCTAAAATATTATTATAATATTTACAAATTATTTTTTCAAATAATAATAATAATATAAAATAAAAGTTGTAAAAGAAATATAATTTTTTTTATAGATGAAAGAAATATAATTTATTATGGAGATAATAAGAATATTCGTGTATTTTTATATACATATAAAATATAAATAGAGAATAATTTTTTTTACAATTATTATGATAATTACGATAATTATATTTAACTAATTATTAATCTTGATTACAAGAATACGTTGTTTTGATAAAATATAAATATTATTAGTATTCATGTAATATAATAAAGTATTTGAGGGTAATTTTGTATTTTAAGTGTTTTAGTAAAGAAGCAAATAAGATCTTAAAGAAAAAAGGTGGGGTAGAGGTACTTTTTTAAAAACATCTTATAAGCTCCCTAACAGCTTATTTTTGGAAAAAATAAGATCTTTTGCAATTTCTTTACCAAACACCTTTTAAAAACTTATAAGCTCCTAAACATCTTATAAGATGTTTTTAGGAGCTTATAAGCTTAGCCAAACAGGCTCTAAATTTACTATGTTTGCATTGTTTAAGGATGAACCAAGATATTTCAATTGGGGGCCGAGAATCCTAAACGATGAAAAATCACTTGACAGGATATTCACGAAAACGGCAAAAAAAAAAAATAATAAATAAATAAATAAAATCAATAAATCCACAAGTAAAAAAAGGAACCAACAAAATGAAAAGATTATTTTCCAATTTCCATAGACAAGAATGGAGATCAATGTCAAGTTGCATGGTCACTTACAATCACAAATTCATATACAGTTTATCAATTCATACAATAAAAGATAGCTCCAAGTTCAAGAAGCTATGAAATGCACCCAATTAAAATCATTTTCTTTTCGTCATAATCACCAATTTAAAAATTTCGTATAACAGGCAAGAAAAATCAAACCTTCCTGTTAATTAGTAAATTTATATCTCCAAATCGAACCCGAAGGATATAGCACACACGCCCGAACCTTCAATCCCAGTCGATCTTCAAGATTCGAAAAACTCCCAAAAGCAAAAGTAATATCTGGAATACAGTAATGATTTAATTTCCAGATCGCTTCAAGAATGCCAACACGCTTAAACCAGCAACTAATGCAGCTCCTGCTGCTACAGCGCTGTATGCCGAAGCCCAAGCATCTGCTTGAGCATATTCCAGATTCCTTGAGTTGGATCCTTTCCGACGACTAGATGTTCCCGAGTAGTCTAAATGCAATTTCAGTCCCTGTATTTTAAGGTATCGGCACATGTATTAACAATGCTAATAAATATTCAATGATTTCAAGAAATATTTCTATAGTATTAATAAAATACAATTCCGGTAATTCTAACGTGACAGATAAATTGAAAAAACAAATATTCTCCAAATTGACAATTATTAATACCTTCCAACCAGCTAGTCTCGCATGGTCTACAGCGGCTTGAAGATCGCTATCAGATGCAAGTACAACTTTGTCCTTGTCTTCATCTTCATACTGCAGAATGATGTCCATCCACAAGCATAAGATTCGGAACTATGCTATATTTAATTATTTAAAGAGACATGTAAAGCCGAGGTCATAAAATTTACCAGAATTTGTGGAAGGTTATTACGGTCAATTTCATCCCCTACTCTCTGAAGGATTGCTGTTATAAGGTCGGCCAAACTCTGTGTACCTGAACCCAAAAATATATAAAAAAAATTAAAAAAAAAATCAGTAGAAGAGTTAAGAAGATGCTGAAAGAATTATTAGTATGATTTATAATTAGATGATATAAAGATACGAGACAGTTTTCCTCGTCTGAATTGATTGAGCAGTATCAACGGTATCAACACCAAACATTTACATACACATGCAAATATATAATGCATGCATAATAAATATATGCATATATATGTCCTGATACGAACCACATAAAAATCTATGCATCCTTCCTTTCCGGTCTTGAATTTTGAAAGAAAAGGTACTGGATAAGGTGGAAGAGGGATAAGGAACTGATCGACCAGTTTCTCCTCCATCAGAAGCCATCTTCAAGGAATTCTCACTGAGATATCATCAGAAAATTGTAAGAAAATAGTGATATATATATATATATATATATATATATATATATATATATATATATATATATATATATATATATATATTAAAACGATATAGTGGTGGTAAATGCACAACCTCCGAGTGTCATCATCGTCATCTGGAGGTAATTCCATCGCAGAATCCCAGAACTTTTGCATCATGGTATTTGTAGCCTCAGTACTGACTCCAGCAGTACTACCAACCTTAAAAAAAAAATTAATCACAAACAGTACCAAGTTCTAGCTAATCTTCACACGTAATAATTAGAATTTTTCATATGAAGAAAACAAGAATGCAGAAATAGTCTAAAGTTGAATTCACATTCAGATTTGTCTTAATCTAGGAATATGATAAATGCAGAAATAGTCGCAGTTTTTTAGATTCACATGTGATAGGAACAAAGTTCATCCAATAATAAAGTTGATATGAATTTTGATATATGATCAAACATAAGCAAAGGAAACCAAGCATCAGATTTATCTTAAATTAGATAAAAAGCTGCATAAGATATACGTAGCATTATACATACTAGAAACATAAATCGTATTTCTCCAAAATCCTAAACAAACGTCTCAGACTCATCCAGTTGAACATACTTTTATGGAACTTCATAGCTACAGAGAAGTGGCAGCATTGTTACGAAAGCAAAGCAAGAATTCTGGTAATACTGTATACCTTGCTGTCTACTATAGTTAAAAAAAATCAGGGGACCAAAGATTCGTCAAACACTGCAATTTCTTTCAAATTGCTAGCATATCTACTGATAAGTTGTAGGATGATCGATTCTTTTAGCAGCAAAAGATTTAACATAGTTGCTAAATAAATATTATTCCGCAAGAAAGTTTATCCTTATTATTAACCCAGAGAGTTCCTCACATAATCATTGCAGTGTTATTTTTCTGCCTTCGTGTGAATTAACTTGCAGTTCAAATACTTTCTGAAATCTCCAAAAAGATAAAGAAAGTTGTTTTTATTGGGATTTACAGGAAGAAGAAAGAATATCTTGATTTATATAGTGACGAGTAGTGACATTCTCCAGCTAGATCACATGAATGCTTATAGAACCATCAATGCCTGGAAAGCAGTAATCAATATCCAACACCAACGTCTATATTCAGCGTACGCAATGTACCATAACTAAGTTAACTTACCGATAGGCAAAAATTTCAAACTAATTCAGCTACACCTCTGAAGCTGATATAGTGAGTAATATGTTCCAGAATTCTAATCATATTTCATGCAGGACAAAATTTTCAGCTAATATATTAATTCTCAGAGTTTATCGGGAGTCCTTTTTGTCTGATTTTCATGCCACCTCCTTCATTACATTTTTTCGGTATTTAAGAAGACTGGTGGAGTATCACTTACTGTGGCTATGGCAGCTTGAGTTATATTAAGAACATCAATAACAGCTACAGCCATTCCATCTGTATCATTAACATACAATTAGAAGAATACTATTATAGTCTTGAGATCACAACAAAAGTTCCCATAGTAGTAGCACACCTTTATCAATAACTGGAAGGTGTAAGAATTTGCCGTCATGCATAGTATGAAGAGCATCAACAATTGGTGTATCAACTGTTGCACATTCTGGATTTGGGGTCATCACCTGCAGAATTGTTTTTGGGAGAAGATAAATGCATATCAAATTAATTTCCAATTCACCCAGCCAGCAAAAGGTAAACAAAATACCAAAAAACGCAATCTACATTGCACAACCAAAATATCGACGGAGCAAACTCCATTAACCAAATGGATACAAAAAAAAATAGAGAGAGAGAGAGAGAGAAGAGGAAGACCTACTTTCTCCACCAGAGTGGATTCTGGAGGAAGATCTTGAGCTATGACTCTCATCAGCATATCTTTCGAACTAAGAAAAACATAGAAGGTACATAAGTATATCATTTTCAAAATCAAGACACAAAAATTTCATAGATAGTGTAGTTAGTTATTCCTTTCACAACAATAAATATTTCCAACATAAGGGAAAGCTCACGTTAATATTCCCCGTGGTTTGTTTTCTACTGTTACAATGGCACAGCTTGCTCGAATTTCAAGCATCTTCTTTGCAGCCACCAGAACAGTGTCGCTTGGATCAACTGTAACAATCCTAATAAACCAGTGAGGTTAGCTGTATCATCCTATTTATGGCATTATCCTCTAATGGTCATAAGATTCATATTCAGAATGAAGTTAATAGCAAACAGAAGGTATTACCTACTTTGAGTTCTCAGAGATTATAGTGGACAAGGATGGTCGAAACATTCGCTCTCGAAGTGTCTCTATGAATGTGTTAGGGCCTACATATCAAGTTAAACCGAATCAACAAAAACAGCCAGATAACTGTTCCTCCGAACATATAAAATGATTATTCCGAGTCACCAAACGAGAGAAAATACACGAAAATGTTGAAGGTAAATCCGCTAGGAAAAAAATTGACAAACATTGGAAGGAAACTACGTTCACCAACCAGACACTGTCGTCCCCCAGTGTTTCTCAACACCTTCAACAGCAGCTGCAATGGCCTTTCCCTTCTCAGCTGCCCTCTCCATACGAGCGATAGCATCGTACAAACATTTTGCTATGTCAAGTAAAGCAATCACCTCTCCATTCTCAACAACTGGTAGATGTCTGAACTTTCCTGTGGAAAAGAATATCATGTTAAAAAATGTGATCACAGGTTCTAGAACAAGATTTATGGAGTTCCGAATAATGTCGTTTGAGATGAAACAGACCTTGAACCATTTTTTGCAAGGCTTCTACAGCAAGTGTTTCGGAGAGAACAAATACCGGGTTCCTTGTCATAACCTTGGAAACAGGAGTTTCCTCGAGATTAACCTCACGAGCAATGACTCTTGTAGCTATATCCTTGAATGAGACGAAGGAAAAATAGAACAACTTTCATCATTATCATTGAACCAAATGACCTTAAGTCTATATCATATATATTCATTTAACCTGTACCTTATCCGTCAAGATTCCGCACAATAGCGCATTTGAATCAGTCAGTAATAAAGCATCCACCCTACGTGCAGCCATCCTACGACAAGCTTCATTGATAGTTGTAGTTTCAGGTACTGTCAAGGCTTTTGATAGCCTCAATCGCTTGACTGTTCGTTCTCCTGTCAGTCCCCTGTTGCAAAACACGAGGGAAAACTGATTCACAGTGCTAATAACTTCCAATGCATTTTATTAGTTAAAGACATCCCCTTATGTATTCTAGATGCCTTTAATGTAAAATTAACTGAGATTCAACCGGTTCCCATTCAAAGCTATTAAATACAAACTGAGATTTGAACACGTCTTCTTATGCTGCAATAAGTTAAATTTCTCAATGAGTGAACGTGTCTTCAAGTCTAATTTCTAGTCATATGTTCGGACAGAATGGTCATTTGAATAGAGGAAAACAACATAGGAAAAGTGAAAACTGGAAACATAAATCACGAACTGCTCACCATTCCCATATTTACTCCAAATTAGTGAAGCAAACAGCAAATAATACTGACATAACCGAAAGCAAATCAAAACATGGTACCAGCTGGAAGCAAGATCAAGAATTCGGAGCTGTTTTTGGTTTTAGAGTAATTTTATTACTAACCCATACTGAAGACATACTTATTTACTATTATGCATAATAAATTTTTCCTAGAGCTAGCTTCTAATTCGAATCCCTAATTCTATTGTCTTGAACTATGTACTCACTAACAGTCCGCTCTTACTTATTTGACTTAAACGGTATAGTTGTGGTAATTGACATAAACTCAATGTAAGCGATTGAATTCTTATCGGAGATTTTAATATGATACTAGTCCTTAGTTGCAGTTATCAGCCTTTCAAAACAACCTGCCTTTGCAGTAGTAATTCAACTCTCATCTTCTACAATATAAAGAAAAAATAAATCGAAAAGGTGTAACAATTCAAAACATAAGCCTAATTGACCAAAACTAAAACTCGGTGCCAACTGAACAGAACAAAATAATTGAAAAAGGAAGACGATGGAAACGCATCATTTTGTAAAGGCATTGCCTATGCCTAGCAGCAATAATCAACATAAGAGAGATGATCAATTAAATTACTTGTTATTTTCGTTAATGGTGCTTATCAAAGTATATCCTTTTTCTTTACAGCAGTTACTTTGAATTTCATTTACTATAACTGCATTACAGAACAAAAAGCCTCAAGCATGTATTTAAACTCCCCCAAATTTTTTTCTTTTCAAACAAAATTTACCGCAAATTTATTTATATATCCGTAATTTTCAACACAGCTTCTGTCTATAACAGCTCAAATGACATATGAAGTATGAACTATGTAATTCGAAAATTTAATTGCATAATTAAGAAATGGAAACATGCCCAATTTTTACTAACGTACATGGAACGGGAAGCGGACATAGACTTGCGGTGGAGAGAGGAGGAATTTCCAAGTCCACCGCCGCCGCCGCCGCCGCTGTTGTCCGCGGAGGCTCTCCTGGTCAACGTGACGCTGCGTCTCATCGACGATCCCCCTTGATTCGTCGTCATCTATTCGATCAACACAAGCAATAAATCTCTAATTATTCAGCAAATTCACAAATAAAAATCACGATTGGAAAAAAAAAAAAAAAAAAAAGCAAACTCGGGAAAATCAGAGAGGAGTGTCAGTTAAAAACTGAATAACGAAGATTTACCTTAGTGTTATTACAGTTCAACCAATCAGGAAGTTAAACGAGGCAAAGAGGATTTGTGTGAATTTTGGGGGAAGAGGGGAAAAGGCGAAAATCCCCGCGTGATAAATGGAAGGGTGAGGATTTTTGCCGTTGTTTATTGCACCAAATCGTATAATCTTTGATTCGTCAAAAATGACGTGTCGTGGGGGATTGTGGAATGTGGGCCCACACTACTTGTTTGGGAATTAAGATTAAATTTTATAAATCTTTTCTTTTATCATTAATAATTTAATATTTATAAATCTTGTCAAATATTTGATATTTAGATTTGAAGGCAACAATTAAAAATGAACTCGAAATTATTATTTTTTTTTGAAAGAAAAAAAACCATAATATTATTGGGTAATCCATGCAAAGTTAACAAGAAGAAAGTTCATTCCATCCCGTGGAGTTAGATGTTACACCTGATTATTTACACGGGGTGAATTTGAACTGTAGATTAGATTAAAATATTAAATAACTACTCGCTAAGCACATATACACATGGGTGGTGTGCGTGATTATGTGTAAATCTACAGTTCAAATCCACTAATGTAAATAACCAGGTGTAGCATCTAATTTTCCATTTCATAGTATCTACACCCTCAAGTTGAGCAAGTGAGCGTGCAAGGCTATTCCCGGCACGCTTAACAAAATGCCAATGAACATAAATCAAAACAATTATCAAAGGTCCGACATTCCTATTAAAGCACCAAAAGATGCAAAATTAACTTCCAAGCACCCGAGTGCATTGAGCACCGGTAAACAATCTCCCTCGAAGACCACTGACAACCATTCCTTTTCTTTAGCTAGTGTTGTCACATAGATGGCCACTCGAGCTTCCTTCTCCATCGATTGGTTCGGGCCGCCGATAAAATTTCTTGCAGATCAACCATATGCGGGACCCATTTGAATCTCTCGCCACCCTAAGGTAGTCTTCACCCCTTGGAAAAGCCGCATCGAAGTTCACCTTAATCGTGCCATCATCCGGCGGTTCGCAACTCTCATGTAAAGGCCTCGGTTGTCCAATCGCAGCCCCGCATTTAGCCTTCTTGTAGTCTGCCAGTTCATAACCCATGACAACATTCCCCGTTTGTTGTGTTGGTAATATATCGTTACAATCCCGCCACTCAAATATGCGAACCTTCGGTGGTAGCTCCCAATTAAACTCCATTCTATCAACTCGACTCCTCGAGCATTTTAGTCCACAATCCATACTATGCAAAATTGAAAAAGAATTTATGGTAGCATGATCGAACACTAAAGAATCCATTCCGAGAGTAGAGCCACACATATCGACCATCCGCTTCACAATCGCCAATAGCAATTTCCGTTGTACGATCTTTATCAACCCTTCAGAAGACTTCATTATGAGTTGAGGACTCCACACCCTTCCACTAAAGTCTATCAGATCAGCAACTTTATTCGGAAAAGCTGAGCGAATCGGCCATTATGTAAAAATCTTGAAAGCGCCATTTGTATGTAATCAAGCTTCACCCCAAATTGCCGTTGATTCAATGTTGCCAATTATTTTCCTTAAGCCAATCTCCAAATAGGGTCTCCCGGAAAGAATGCTTCTCCACGTTGATGATGCACGCATCTCCGCAGTTGCCCTACAAAAATATGTTTTCGAAAAATACCGCTCCTTAATAACCGAGCAACCAGTGATTCCGGGTAAATAATAATTCGCCTCCCTTGTTTTGCTCAAAGGGCTAAGTTAAAACTCTTTAGATCGTGGAAACCCATGTCTCCCGTATTTTTCGGAGCACATAAACGGCTCCATGCCATCCAATTCATCTTTTCCAACCAAAATCTTCGGATCGCGGCCACAATATCTGTAATCAACGAAAAAGGTATTGTGAAACAGCTCGTTATGCACATCGGATAGATTGGATTTATTCGACCCTACACCCGGTGATAAACACCGGGTGGGTCTTTCTGCTGCCACGTGTCTCGTTTTTGTATTTTATTAGGGTTTCCCTTCAGGAGTTTTAGAAAAATAAAAAAAGGATACGTGGCAGCAGAAGACCCACCCGATATTTATCACCGGGTGTAGGGTCGAAGGAGCCGACCCACCCGATATTTATCACCGGGTGTAGGGTCGAAGGAGCCGACCCACCCGATATTTATCACCGGGTGTAAGGTCGAAGGAGCCGATAGATTGTAGAACGGCTTTTTAAGTGTCTCATTCCCCGCTTTCGATAGTTGTTTTTCGCCCATCTTCAATTTTGGCCCAAACTCCATCTAGAAGACAACTAAATAATTTTTTTTTTGCGACCCACCATCGCCGGCATCCCCCAATATTTAACCAAAAATACATACATGGTAGGAATTTGTGACAAAAACATTTCTCTTATATATATAGAGAATGCATCATAGTAGACACGGCTATGGGCCGGTTTTGGGACCGGAACCGGCTCGAACCGGCCCGAACCGTTGACCGGTGAACCGGCCCGGAACTCGTGAACCGGCCCGTCATCCCCGTGACGGGCCCGGTTCTATGAATTGGTGAACAGTGAACTGACGGGCCGGCCCGACGGTTCACCCGGATTTACAAAAAAAAACGAAAAAAAATTAAAAAAAAAAAAAAAAGCAAATAACGGCCGGTGAACCGGCCCAATGAACCGACCCGGTGAACCGGCCGTTATTTGCTATTTTTTGAATTTTCCCCCCTCAATTTTTTTCTTATAAATACCCTCACACCCCATTTTTTCCTATAAAATTAAGTTAAAGTCCTTTTATTTATTTTCTTTTGTTTTTTTCGTATTTAAAAGTAATTATTTTAATTTATTTATCCATTAAGTATTTTTTTTTTAAACATAAATAAATATAATTTTCCAGGCCTGGATAGGCCCGGAACCGGTTTGAACCGGCGGGCCAAGCCGGCCAGCCGAACCGTGCATATTACGGGCCGGTTCCGGAAAAAGTGAACCGTGAACCGGCCCGAGCCGGCCATGGCCGTGTCTACATCATAGATGAAAATAAAATAAATAGAAGTTGACAAGTCATTTTATATGTTCGCGTTGAAATGGTATCAACTATCAACTATCAAACATAAAATAGAATTAGAAAGGGCGGCCCTTTCAATAACCTCTCGTGTTTGAAGTCAAGGTATACGTGGAGTGAAAATCGAATGGATCGTATCCGAGTTACCAGTTTCGGGAAAAAAAATAATATGTTTTTTAAAATTGAAAAACACTAATTACAAATTACAATTGTTGTAACAAATCGAAAAGCTTTGATTTGGAATGAAATTTTGTTCTAAATTTGGTAATTGTTTTCTTATGTCAACCTTTAATATAAAAAATACATAATAAATTTAATTTTGTAAATATCCAATTGTGAAATAAAATGAAATTTTCCCAAAAGTCAATTTTTTTCGAATTTAGTATAAAAAGTTATTCCAAAATTGAAAAAAATTAAGATCTAAAATCGACTTAATTAGAAAATTATAGTCCAATTTTCAACCCTTGTAAATGTCAACATCAATCTGTCGCCCTCACACTAAGAAGGGAGAGGGGATGCTCCACAAAACTTATCCAATCAGAATCAAGAGAAACAGATAGGACAATTACCATTGGCCCAAATTACCGAATCAAACCCTATTTATCTGTACCCTCACCACACCATATCAAATTCCTCTCCTCACCCTCCCAGAAACACTATCGCCACTCCACCCTCGCATCACTGACTTGTACATTACGCACTCTAGATTGTACATTGTGTTCATACCATTTCCCATAAATATTCACGCTCTCTTGTCTTCTCCAATTTTCATTTTCAGCAAAATAGCTTCTGCGAAAAACGATGGAACAACAAAACAACCAGCCCCAAGGCGGAGCGGCTCCGCCACCGCAGGCGGTGGCGTACCCGCCGCAGCCGCCGTACCAGCAGCTCCTCCAGCAGCAGCAGCAGCAGCTCCAGATGTTCTGGAACTACCAGCGGCAGGAAATCGAGCAGGCGAACGATTTCAAGAACCACCAGCTCCCGCTCGCCCGCATTAAGAAGATCATGAAGGCCGACGAGGACGTGCGGATGATATCGGCGGAGGCGCCGATTCTCTTCGCGAAGGCGTGCGAGCTCTTCATCCTCGAGCTCACGATCCGATCGTGGCTCCACGCCGAGGAGAACAAGCGCCGCACCCTCCAGAAGAACGACATCGCCGCCGCCATCACGCGGACCGACATATTCGATTTCCTCGTCGACATCGTCCCCAGGGACGAGCTGAAGGACGAGGCCGCCGCCCTAGGCGGGATTGTCGGGGCGCCGGTGGTGGGCGCCGCCGGGGTTACGGGCGTGCCCTACTACTACCCGCCTATGGGGCATCCGATGATGGGTAGACCCGCCGTGCCTGGGGTGGATCCGGGTGTTTATGGGCAGCCCTCTCTTGCGTGGCAGTCCGTGTGGCAAACCTCCGCCGCGGAGGATGGGTCGTACGGCAGCGGCGGCGGCGGCGGCAGTGGTCAGGGAAACCTCGACGGACAAGGGTAATTCTGCCGTTACATTCTCTCTTCTTCGTTTCCGTATCTTAAAGATTGGATTTTTACTTGATTCTAATTAATTCTAGGGCTTTTCTATTTACAATTCGGCTTCTTTATACAAAATGGGAAGGATTTATGTGTATTACGAGTAATTAGCATGATAAAATTAGATAGATGTATTTGGGAATATTCGGATTCAATAAAAATGTTTCAATCTCCCGATTACGAAATGAATGCGTGTCGGGATTAGGAATTTTGTTTTCTTCTCTCGGCACAAGTCCAAGAGATTTTGTTTTAGTCTCTTAGATTGAGACGAAGTTCGTTAACATACGTAATGAAGGCACGTGGAGAAATCCCGACAAAATCGAATCATGATTCTAGTTTCTTGAGCCGTAAAATTTGTTTGCCAGCACTTTAAGTTGCTTTTGCAAGTAGTTGTAATTATAACCAAATAAACGTGTAGATTAAATTAAATGGTTTCGATTGTATGTTGAACAATGATTAGCTGGAACTTTGTAACTAATTTAAGGGCACAATTCAGGAGAATGAGTTTGTTGAGGTTAACGTGTGTTTTTTACGTGCTTTTGTTTCTTTCTTTTATGGTTTTTATATTATGCGAGTTTATATTTGTGACACGTGTTTCGGAGTCTGGATATTGTGTAGGGTTTTTATGTATATATTTATTTTATCCCGTTGGCGCTTGTTTTCTTAATTTTTTTCGTACCGAAAGTAGAAAGCTTGATGGCTAAAACATGCCATATAGTTAGTTGCGTGCATGTCAAGCTATTTTACAGACTGAATCGGATTTTACTGAGACGTAAGGAAATAGCGCTAATGAAGATGAGATAGTAAAGAATGTCGTTTAGTGCTGCAACGCCAAATATATGGCTTAATTGCGCCTTTTTCTCTCTCTCTCTCTCTCTCTCTCTCTCTCTCTCTCTCTCTCTCTCTCTCTCTCTCTCTCTCTCTCTCTCTCTCTCTCTCTCTCTTATAAATACAGTTCATAAAAACGTGATGAAATGGAAACTTTTAATATCCATTGTTTTCAAAACATGTCGATATAATACGTTTTTTCTTGAACGTGTGCCCTTCTATTGTTTCCTTCTTTTTTATCGTCAAGCAACTCGCTTAAGTTTGACTTGTGGTCTTCGATTTCACTCGGTAAAAGCTGCGGATTTAATTTACATGACTTTGTGATTTTGCAGTTGAAACAACGGGCATGCTGGCTTGAGATAGGGAGTGGCGCAATCGATAGTCCCCAGCTTTGCTACATGGAAAATTATTCGTCGACTATAAACGGGATTCATTGCACATATCCGTTAATGTTTGTTCTCTTTATGTAATCCTTCTAGACTTTGTTTAAAACTCAAATTTCGTATTAGCTGCTACAATTTTATTTTACCTCCGTTGGCGCATCGTTTTCCCTGTGTTACGATCGACTCAAGTCAACTATGGTATTAGAACTGTCTTTCATCTGATTACTTTTTTACAGTTTGATTTCTCTCATCTTTCTTTCTTTATTTAATAAATTCAAACTTATTTTCGAATACAATTCTACGAGACTACGCGTTGTGGGCTATATCTATAGACAGATCATATATTCTACGTTGTGCAAAACGTGGTTGTGTTATTAGTTGCTCCAGGTATCCGAAAATGCCAGAATCTGCCTTTGGAAGCGACAAGATTCTCCTCGCACAAGTACTCCCACGAGTACCACTTCTCCACCGTCCGATCAACATCGTGCACTATAACATGGCTCGTGTTTCCCCTTCTTGCCAAAACGCCCGCCGTGTAGATGGAGCCCATCCTACCAGGTGAATCGGGCCGGGCCCCACTTGGCCCGTCCACCACCACCATATCCCACACCGTACCGTACACTTCCCGAGGCAGGTTTGTCAGCACCAGCTGGCACTTCGCCAAGTCATCATCAGAAGACAAACTCGGCCGGCAGTCAGGATTCTCCCTCGCTTCTCTGAGCAGCTGGTAAGCGTTGGATGCTAATGTGTTGTACGTGATTCTGCGAACTCGCGTATTATTATTGTTAATGGCGATTTTTATTGTGGTCGTTTTTTGTAGAATGTCCTCGATGAAGAGGGTGGTCCCACCATGGTTGAGTGATGCTAAACTCGAGTACTTGTACTCGTGTCCGAAAACGAGCAGATTGCAGGGGACCGTGCTGCGGAAGAATTCCAAGAGAAACTGCATTTCCTTATCTGTTGGGCGGTTGCTTTCGGAGGGATCTTGATCTTGGATATTCTGTGCACAGACCGAAGAAGACGAAGAAGAACAATCGAGGTGGTGGATGGGAGAATTAATAGTGCTTCTGATCATACTTATATTGAGAAATCTGAAGATTGAAGCACCGAATAAAATGAAAACAAGAAGTGGGATTAGCTTCTTTTTTGTGAATTTCATTCTATTTTGTCGATACTTTTGACGCAGAATCTGCTTAAGACGCGAATTTGGTGAGAGCAACAGAGTTTTGTGGGAGGCGGAAGATTGGCAATACGATACTTGTGGTGGCATTCTTGATCCTTCTGCACCACTACAGTTACCATGTCATTCTCATCATAGAACTTTCTTTTGATATATAGTTTTTTTGGTGATAACTCATGTATCTGTATATATACGTGTGTATATATATATATATATATATATATATATATATATATATATATATATATATATATATATATATATATATACATATATATATATATATATATA